GCATTTTCAAGGATCAATCTTGAACCATAAACCAAACCAGATCTGAAATCAGAAGCAGGAGAGGGATATACCTGATACAAAGAAGCAGTATCTCCCAATGGAGGTGTTCACGCCCAAGGTAGGAACCAAAGACTGCTCCCACTGAAGATGGCGTAGTGTAGGATGGAGCAGAATCAACAATGTTCTTCCAAAAGAATCGAACCCTTCACAAGAATTCGTTGGAGGCAGTGAGCACACCTTCAAATCAGCCTTTCACCAAAGACTGATATCAAGATCCAATCTTGATCACTCCTACTAGAAAGAGGAAATCRAACTGGCAGTAATGGCAGCGGGAGGAAGGAGGCGGCAAGGAGAAAATAGCTCAGTCTCACTGGGTGTTGTGTTCTCTCTCTGAATTTTGAATGTGATTGATCTTCTATTGCTGCCGCCCCCTTCTCCTTTTATAACCTTAAAGGGATCAACTCCTAATCCCATTAGGAGTTGTTGATCCAAATCATATTTGGATATGAGTTCCCCTTAAGAGATAATGATAGATCCTTATCTTATCTGCAGATTAGATCAACCCTCTCCTAATTTGATTAGGAGGATTCCAGATCTGAATCTGTATTCAGATTTGGACTCTCTAAGTGGATAGGGTAAGACCCTATCCTATCTGCTAATCTAATCTCAAATTCTACCCTTTAATTAACTGATCAAATCATCCTAGTTCGAAATGGACTTTAGGCCCAATAAGAGTATGTGCTCACTTAGCCTTCTAAATTGCTACCCAGTTGGGCTTCCTTGTATGGCGTGGGACCCAAGCATTGATCTACACATTAGCCACAAGGGTCCGGCCCAGCCTTTGTTACAAGGCCTAGCCGAATTCACTGGAAAGCCCAGTGAACCCCCTCAGCCCATAACATGGACTCTATGGGCCCAACATTTACACTAAGTGGTCATTGGGCCAAGCCACCTTGTAACACCCAGGGACTGTGGGCATATGCAAGATTAGCCCATCAGGTATTACCCTCAATGGTCTTACACTTAACCTCTCCGCCCATATTGATCAAACACTACCTGACAAGAGAGGACCTCTCCCTCGGCTGCAAGGAACAGTGCTACACTCTCTTCTCACATGGATCCCGGGAATTAAAACCCTTTTGCAAACAATTTGAAACTGTAACATATATATATACTTTTATATCTCATATAAAATATATTTTGCAAAACAAATCTCAACGATTGAAATCGGCTGCCGGCAGTCTTGGTTTCCATCAGTGAGAGTGCATCCCTGATCATTACCTTTATTCGACAAAGGGGCTGATCCTGTCACTATGATCACACACTCAGATGAATTCTCGGACTATCCCAACATACCCAGGTTTTGACCCCCTCTAAGGATCTCACTGATTAGCATATCAAAGATAGCTCAATCCGACACCTAGTGCAGTATCATAATCGAGTGTAGGGGTCTGGTGTAACTTTCCAGTTTTGCCCACTAATCTCCAATGTACAGGGCAATACTGGAAATCTGGTCCGGTTCAAGGTTTCAAGTTATCCTACACTGCATGTGCTTTGGGTCTCACCCTGGCAGCTGAGATAGACGACCCCAACACTTGGCAGCACACCAGTGTTGGCCTTAGCAAGATAAATCTCTCTAGACTTATCCAATGGCTATGAACATTTTAAACTAACACGAGTGTCATTAAGTGTTCAGTTTAAGGGTATTACATAAAAACACACCACAAGAACATGAATCAAATATGCACTTTGATAGTTATAAATATAACCCTAGCAAGTGTACTAGTTATCAAGTAGTATAAAAATATCGTTCCCATGGGGATTTAACAAAATAAGTATTAGAACCACAGTCTTCCCTAATTATGTGGACAATCGAAATTCAGATTTGAGCAAGAACTACTGAAAATAAAAACTAGAAAAAGAAAATAGAAGCAAGGGTGATCACTAACTGAATATGCAATGGATGAAAGCGCCAGGGCTTTT